ATGAAACACTACCTCATTCAAATAGCAGAGAACAAAATGAAAATTAAATATAAAACATGGACAAGACGACGGTTTGAACAAAATAATCGTCGTTTAATATAAATTCAGACGACGGCATCTATAGTCACCGTCGTCATTAAGATACCCAAACCCAGAAATTTGAACGGGGTTCTGGTAGCCTAAAGACGACGTTTAATGGAGAAACAGTCGTCTTTAGGCTACCAGTTGTGGCTTAAAACTCAGACGACGGGAGTAAATGAACAACACAGAGAGCAATTATTACAAGAATGCAAACACCAAAACATAAAAGAACCCTAATATAGCTACCAATTAAGAATCTACGTACCCAATGCTAAACATTTATGGATTTAAGAAGAGATTAGGGTTAAAGGGACTAGGGTTGTACTTACATGGATATTGAGAGAGAGCTGCGAGAATATAACGAGAGAGCGAAAACTTTCAGACAAATTTATGTTGAAGAGAGAGAATGAACTATTTGAGGGTTAAAGGAAAATTCTGAAAATATTAGGTCGCGGTCAAAAATTTTAAAGTACCGCGTTTCTCAACGACGACGGTTGTTTTTAAATGGTACTAAGACCGACGTTGTAAACATAACGGACGTCGCTATTTAATAACCGACGTCGTAAACCGAATTCAATTAGTCTTGGTTTATGTAGTTGACCAAAAACAGCGGGAGAAAATCGGCGTCGTTTCAAAAAACCCTAAACCCTAAATTTTACAATAATTTTAAAAAAATACACAAGTATTAGAAAAATGAACCGAAAATTGCTATGGACTCCTTACAACAATGCCTTCTACAATAGTAGGCTAAAATATGGATTTCATAATTTTGAATTTATGGGCACCAATGGATCACATAAACTTTAGGGTTATGTTATGTAAAGTATAAGGAGTACCATGCTTTGTCTCTAAATTTGTTTGAATTTTGTTATCATTTGAACTTTGAAAACTAAAATTACATTTTTCAGGCCATATTTCAATGCTTGGTAGTTTTCA